CTTCTATGATTAATGCAGCCAGGATTTTAATCCAGTTAACCATAAATGCAACAAACTTCAGGGTGGTTATCTCCTGTGTGAAAATGGGCACTACAGGGATATTGTGCTAATGCTTGGGATTGATCTCACTACAGTGCCAAATTACAGTTCTTTACTCAAGTAAACTGTTGTTAGCTGTTTATACAATGTAAATGCTATTTTTTTTTTTATGTAGCTGTAACACTCCCATGTGGTTTTGAACCACCCTGTCCTGAAGAGAAAAGCAAGGGGCTTCTACAGGTTTGCATCAGCAACACTGGTCCCTAACAGCTTGGCGTAGGAGGTGAAGTAGGACCATATATTTCGCTATATCTTAACAGACCAGGCTTGAATGGAATAAGACCACTTGCCAGATTAGCATCTGGAATTCACACTTTATTGAAGTATCAAATTAATGAAGACTTTTCTCATTGCAATTTGAGGGACTTTAAGCTCAGCAAAAATGCAGCTCTTCATCATATTGTTAAAATGTTGCCTCAGAGCTTGGTTAAGAGGAAATTGGCTGGTTCTGAGTTGCCAGCATCTCTTACTAGCATACCACAGGAGTCCAGGCTGGCTCATCACATACCTTTGGAATTATTTCACAGGCTGCCATAAATGCATCAATCTATGGTCTCTGAACTGTTTTCACATATATCAGTGAGTTAGAGTTAAGTGACTGAGAGTTCCCAACCAGTGATGCTTCTGTCAGTAACATTGTACCTTTATCCATTTTCTGTATTTGCAGCATGATTGAGAGCTAGATCTGCTTTAGCAAAGCTTTTTTAGGTGTTGGTAACTGAATGAGCTTCAGAATAAGGTAATTTTCCTATCTAATGGCAGGATCTCTCTTATTTGGGAGTGGGTCTTCTATGACAAACAGGTGCCTTTAAGTGTTATAACTTTTGCCCTCCTCCTCTCCCCAGTTTCTTCCTGCTCCCCACTCCTCCCCACACACTGGCATGCAGAGAGCTGATAACCAGAGAACCCTGGAGGGGGATGCCAGAGAGCTTGAGGGACTTACAGTGCAAGACAGTGCCATTCATTTCTGGGTGCTTATTTCCATTTAACCTAGGATGCTTCTGCCTGACAGCTGGTTTGCGATGTGTGAATTCAGTGAGTGGCTGTCAGTTTAGCTGGCAGAAGACAAGTGTCCGCAGCCCATCAAAGCAGGGGACAAGGTTGAATGCATCATGGGGATGGGAATGAAAGCAGATCTCTTCGGATCAAGATGATGTGTACTGGTAGGCCTGGTGCGCATTGAAAGTCTGCTGTCGTTGTCTTCCAGTTGGAGAGAGAAGTGTGCTCTCATGACACCTTCCCTTACTGCTAAACTTCTTGTTAAAAATGTTAGAGTTAAAAAATACCTCACATGTTTCCTCTACAGGCACGGGAATGATCTGAGCTATAATAATGTTTGCTTTGCTCCTCCTGCTCCCCTTCATCCTCCTCCTTCCCTTTCCACCCCACGCAGATGGCTGGGGCTGCAACAGACAAAGGCAGCAGCCCTGCTGATCCCTCTTTCAACCCAGCTATTAGCATCTAAGAACAAAAGCAAACAGCACTGGCTTGCAGCTTAGCCCTTTACAAAGGAGCAATAAATGGACTCTCGTGTATAGGATAAAGCAAATTCTGCCTTGTCTTTTGTGAAGAGAAGACCTTTCTGTGTTTGAAATGTTCTGAGCATGGCAGTAAGTCACATGGTCACTGGACTTTTTGTTATCTATGGGTTCTGCATGCTCCCTGTTTGATTGGGAACACTGCACCTCCTTAGTCCCCTGGAGCAGGTAGGAGTCCCTGTGGGGGGAAGAAGGTAGCGCTGATGGAAAAGGAAGAGACTGGGGACACGCTTTAAACAGCCCATTTGAAAACAAACCAGAAAACATGAACAGAGTTTGAGATGTCTCAGATGGTGGGGTCTGAAGAAGAGTCAGCTCAGCTCCCCAAGTCTGGTCACTTTTCCATCTCTATGTTCTACCTTTCCTGAGGTGTTAGATTTCTTCTAATTGTGGAGCTGCCAGCCATAAGGTACTGAATCAGAGATTTCTTATTAAGGATCCCTTTTGATGATATATGCAACCACAATTTTAATTGGGCACCACAGTGGAGTGGCAAACCACACTGCAGAGGTGTGACAGGGTTTGCTGTGAGGACCTGAATGGCAGTTTCAGTTGTATGCCCAGTGGTATTTATTGCAGGGTCTTTTGTGAGGGTTGACTGGCTATATGCCATTTTTGTCTTCACAAAGAAAGCAGTGCTTTCTCATGTGTGTTTTTACAATAAAAAACAAGTACTTTCACCATTTAAAAATCAGCATTTGCCAGCAGGTACCACATGGGGGGGGTGTCTGCAATACAGGAAACTCCCTTTGTATTTTAGTGTGGGAAGTTAACACTAATGACCTGGGCTGTCACATAGGTTAATACTGCAAAAGTGTTGCAGCGATGCAAACAGTGACTTTTCTGGTGCAGCTAATGTATATAGAAATAGTTTCAGTGGAGACTTTCCAAAAAAGGTACATCAAAAAGAAAGCTAAGGGTAAAACCAACAGGGATTGAGGATACCTGCTTTTAGGGACATCAGAACAAAAAATACGGCTAAAAGGAAATCCCTGTGCTGTCTGCCTGGGATTGTTTGCCATTGAGAAACTACTTTTATGAGATGTTGGTGTAGCTCGTAACACTTCATTGTTCCGCTTTTTAACAGCTTCATGACCTATTTAATTCACGCACAGTTAATTAAGTATTGTTTCAAGCAGTGTATCAGTTACAGCCAACTGCCTCTTCTCTTATTTGTTTAATGTGTTTATCCCTTGCTCACCCTTGGTTAGCTCTTTCCTTTGCCCTTTCTATCTGCTGATCCTTTTTATTCCCTAAACATCCTACACATTTCCTGAAACACAGACACCCTAGTGAGGCTGTGTGCTGTTCCTTGGCCCTTGAGGTAGCCCAGGCTGCAGCTGTGCCTGCTCCTTTGTCAGGCATGCAGAGACTGTGAGGACAACATGGGCCTAGAGCTTTGTACTTGTGTAGAATAGGCTTTAGGGCAGCTGCTGGCTGCCCCAGAAATTTCAGTGCCTTATGGTGCTCCCTTCTTCCTCTTCTGAAATGTGTGATCATATTCTCTGTCACTGATTTTCCCAAGTGACATCTCAACTAAGACCTAGCTGCTGTCTTGTAAATTCTTTGTCATTGTGCTCACATTCTGCAGTGGTGTTTAAAAGTGCACTCCTTCCTTCTGCCTCTGTTCTCACCTCCATTTGCCTTCCATCCTCAGTGCACGCATTGCTGCCTGACACTTGTTTCCTTTTGCTACCTAAAAATAATTACTTTCAGGCCAACTTTCAGTGCTAAGCGTTCTTCCAGGCTCGAATGCCAGGACACCAATTCTTAGATTATGTGTTAAGAGGAAAGGCAACAAATAACACTCATCAAATCTGACATATATATTTAGTAAAAGCTATGGATATTAAATGAGTTGATGCAAAAGGCCCTCTTTATGCTTTGTTTTATTTGGGTTATTACCTCCTTAGGGAAGGATGACTTGATATATGTGTGATGTACCACAGGGACTTTTCCTCAAATGATTCTGGAGCCATTACAAAGTGGTAAACAATAAGCAACATGCACAGGAGTCACTCACCACCAAAATGCAAGTGTGTCTGGAAGAGAAGTGACACTGGTTTCACAGAGCACAGCTGGTTTGGGCAGGAAGGGGGAAATACTGATGGAAATTGGAGGGGATGTTCAGGTAAGGAGAATATATTCTTAGACCTTTGTGCGTAGGCAAAGCACCCAGCATGACATACTCCTAGACTTGTGGCAGAAGTGGCCCAGGACTTGTAGTAGTCCAAATCATTAATGTATTGCTTTGTAGTCTTACTGGAAGGGTGATTCTTGCAGCAGCCCAATTCCTGGGTAATGTACAAGCCTCCAGGGAAGAATGCTGCCTGTGGACCTGGCCCCACTGTTTGCCCAAGCAAATTCACTTTTTATTTTTGGATAGCTGCTTTGGAAGGAAAATACTGATTACTCTCATCCCATGAGATTTCAGGAGTTCCTCCCTCATGGTGTTATGATAAGAGTAGATGTTCAGAGGAAGACTAAACTTGGGATGCTAAAAAAAGTTATGAGAAGCATTTTTTTTTAAAAGCACATTCTCTGGGATTGGTGGGCTCTGCCCAAACAGGCACTGCATTCAAAGATATGCCTTTTCTTTGATCGTACTAGCATTTACATAGTCTTGCTACTCTCTTTTTTTAAAGGACTAATTTATTCTGGGGATTAATGTGATTGGTTCTGAAAAGTGGTCTTATGTCACAAAGCAAAAAAATGCTAAATGATGTTTGGTCTGAACTCAGCATCTTGTGAAAAGTCAATATATGGGATGTGCAAACCTCTGGCACTCCTCCCCCCATTGGTACTGCTGTCTGCAATGAAGGATGTTGTTTTGGGAATGATGGGTAGGAGGAATGAAAAGAAATGGGCTCTCTTCTGGACTTTGGGACTATGTTGAGTGCCTTGTACCTGGTCATAAATTCACATGGCCCCTAATAAAAGGGGAGCAGGTTCTTTTCTTTTTTCTCTGAAAACTTGCTTGAATTTATGTGCAATAGAAACCTCCTGCAGGCAGGTTGGTTTTGTTTCTTTCTTTTGCACTTGTGTGTGAAAAACAGTAGAATATTTTAACTGATATTCTTACAGGAACTGACGTGGCTTGGTTCTATCTGATTCCAGGAACTCTCTCTCCGGACAGATATGATGATGGATTCACTTTGACATGCACAGTGGAGAGGGAGCCAGTGCCTCCTCCCTTGCATGGGTGGCCTTCAAACAGACCTAATTACTTCTGGTTTTGCATGAAATTGATATCCATGCAAGGATGCTGAGTTGCTGTGTGCATTTCTAATGGCTTTTTTCTCTTCTCTCTCTCTCTCTCTTTTCTATTTCTGCTTTCTGCTTGCCATGAAAACACCTCGACAGATGTCAATCATATTCCAGGTAAGTGTGGCTTTTGCTGAGCTGAAAGGCTGCTCTTTATGGTGTGGTGGCGGGCAGAAAATCTCATCCCGCTTCCTGAAAGCACACAGAACAAATCTTCATACTGGACATCACAGGGTCTGGATTGCAAAGTCTTTGCAAAAAGTATCAAAGGTCACAAACTTCCCTCTTCAAAGAGTACACTGTGTTGGTCAGTTAAAGGGATGTTTTCTGCATGAAATTTACATTGAAAATGGTTGCTTGTGTTGCTAATTACTTGGCTTTGAACACCACATTATATACAGTTTATTTCTGATATATCTGTGTGTAGTCTAGTGTACAAATATAGTTCAGTCATTTTCCTTCTCTATCTGCAGTCTACTCCATTTGGTAATCCACTGACAACCTGTTGAGTTTCCTTTCTGCTAGCAAAGGGGTTTATTGTTGTTGTTTTATTTTAGGTTTTAAAACCCAATGAGTACCTTTCTGGCAGAACGTGGATGTGTGATCTTATTTAGATATCAAAAGTTTACTATATGACAGGGCAAAAATCATGAATTTAAAAGGAAAAAAAATGTTTTGTGTGCTTGTTTATCTGGGAAATTTTTCCATCAGGAAGTATTTTACCACAGAGAACTTCAAACCTCCCTCCCCAGGATCCTCTCTCATTGCCAGAATGGTTTGAGTCCCCTGACACCAGCTGCAAAGGTAAATTGCACTAGAGGACTTTACACTGTAGTCCACATCCTGTTGCCACTGAAGTTAAGAAACTAATTTTTACCTCATGCTCAGGGAGCCCCACGTGGGTTACCATTATGTGAAATGGCAGTGAGAGCCCAGGGAAGCAGCTGGCATTGCCCTGGCTGGAGTGGGGTGATGGGAGAGTTGAGGCTGTTTTCCATCTCAGCCTTCTGCATAACTTTTACTAAACCTAACCTGGATCTGGAATGAGTTTTCCATTCAATTTGCTTCTTTTCTACACTTGGATAATCAGATTTTCAGCTGGCAAGAGTGGGGATGGAAGTGGCCAAATGGCAAATGCTGCCTGGCATGCTTGGAGAGAAAGGATCTCTCAAGTGTAACATTGAATCTTTTCACTGACCCATGAGACTGAGAACCCTTCTCTGCCCCAGTCTGAAGTGTCCAGGAACTTTTGTCTCCTCTCGGCAGGATCTGACAGGACAGGCAGCAAGGGCTCGGAGTCACAAGTCTCTCCAACAAATCCTGAGGCTGTTGGTGTCTGTGGCAGAGGCGGATGGTTGGATTGGGAAGCATGGCCTTGCTATACTCTACCATTAGCACGCATGATAATCTGCCACAAACAAGCATTGTCTCGAAGAGCATTAGGGTCATCTCCGAGGCCTGCACAGTTTGCAGGGGATGACGGCATCAGTAGTAGGGGTCCAAGCAGAGGTGGCACAACCAGGACAGGACTATGCTGCTGCTACTGTGAGCACCCTGGGGCAGTCCATCCTTTTGCTTCTGAATGGGCTCTTCTGCCCCACTGCCATCTTATTCTCATAATTTAAATGCTTGGATGTGCATTTTTTATTCTCCCCATCGCTCACACACGTGTTCTTGTTCTCAGGACTGCTGTGTGCTTTCCCACGTGGATTTAGTCACATGTGCATGCTCTTTTCCATTTCTTCTTGCACTCACCTGTGTGTTTTCAGCCTGACAACTACCCACATCTCATTATTGGGCTCTGTAACTGCTTACTCCCATGCAGTCTAATCACTCTGCACTCCTCCTGGGGAGGATACTGTCACTGCTGCATAACTGGGCAGCAGTATGGACCACCAGGAGGGTTTGGTTTTGTACTTCCCCTCTCCCCGACTGTGCAGAGGCTTTCTTCCTATTTGCCTATCCAGCTGTCTCTATTGTGAGGCCAGAGCCCTGGGCCCCTGTCAGAATGGTTACTTCAAGCATCCACTGTTTGCAAGACAAATTAGGGATTTTACGATCTAGTGGTAACTATTTATCCACAGGCAGCAGAGTGGCTGCAAAGAGACCATTGATTAACTGAGTATTTTTTATTGTGGAATATACTGGTTAGAACTAATTCCCTAGTAAGAGAAGGTAGCTGTAAATAGGCTGAGGCTGGCAGCAGTGGGAACCACAGAGCTCTGATGGGTGCAGTTCCTGCAATGTGCAAAGAAGCTGGTCTTGTTCGAAGTAAACAGAAGTGTGTAGTATGAGCCTTTCCTGGCTGCATGGTCTCTGCTTGTGAAGAAGGGGTCCTCCAGCAATAGGGGCTGCAGTGCTATGCTCTTTTCAAGAGCCAACTGAAGATCCCATCTGGGTTATTTCACAACTGAAAGGAGTTTCTCAGATGTTAGCCTAGCTGCCCTGCAAATATTATGTCCCCTGTCACAAAATAAGACCACTGCATTGTAAGCAGCAAAGTCAAGTATTTAGAGCTGGGCCCTGGAGTTTGGGACTGTTACTGTCTGTACTCAGCTAGGTCACTGACTCACTGTGTCATGTAGAGGAGACATAACTTCTCCTTTCAGAACTTCATTTTTCCCTTTGGGCTTATAGCTACAGCCTCACTTCTCCTTCACAACATGCTTAGAGTTCTTGGGCTGAACATTATGGAGATTAAGAGCCTTATTACAGAGGTTAAGTGCTTTTCTTGGAGAGCAGTATGCAGCACAAACCAGAATGGATGCCCTGTCACCTCTGCACAATATCTGCCCCTTCTACTCATATATTTGCACCTTCTACTCATTGCCAGTGGTCCAGGTTGTGGAAGACAAATTGTTGGGAAAAAACAAGTAGATCAAGGGGCAAGTGACATGTTCTGTCCCACTTAGTTTTTTTAGTAGAAGACTATGTGCAGGAGAAAGAGCTAAGTACGGATCCGTGGTATTATGGTGACTGGAACTGATGCCTGGGAGGTGCCAGAGTTTATATAGTGCTTTTCCTATTCATGTCATGTTTATCCACTTTGTGGGGGAGATACTCTGATGTTCAAGGGGAGAAGGCTAAGAGATGAAGTTCTGGGCAGTTTGCTGTCACAACTTTACTGCTGACTACAGATTGCATGAAACTGAATGGACACAACCCAGTAGAAATGACCTAGTTATCTGGGGCCCTGAGGAAAAACTAGTTCTTGTTTGCCTGAACAAAGCCTTCCGAAGGATACAGAGATTCATGAAGGCACAAGCATGCAAACACTGTTTTGGTCTAGCTCTTTATCTTTCAAACCATGTCTTTCAATGCTTTCCCTTCTTCATGTCAGGGCTGCTGTTTTCCTCTGTCTCCCTAACTCCACATCGTCATTTAAGCGTACATGTATTACTTTCTTGAAGCTGAACTCTGCTTTTTGGGCATGAAAATGTGTGAATTGTGTTTGAGCCCATCTGAAGTTTCCTATTCATAGAAGGTACTAGGTCAAATTAAGAATCCACTCATGCCATTATCTTCAGTTCCACTCACACAAGTGTTTGAAACCACTTTGTAAAGACTTACGTTCTTCATCACAGATACTACCACTGTTTTTATTCTTGCATGTTCTTTGCACAGACACTGTCCTCAAATCGAATTCTCTTGCACTGAAACATGTTGCCATTTGCAACAATATGGCAGTAGTGATCACGAGGGTCAGAGCAAGAATTCATCTAGCTCAGAAGCATTTTTTTAATGAAAATAGGAGCTTTGGAAGAAGTGTAAGAAACTACATTAGCATTGGTTTTGTCCTGATACACCTTTGTGGTTTCTGGTAGTCACTGTTTTAAGGATTTTCTGACCTGATACTGCATCAAGATCATGGTGTTGTTGCTGGATGTATTTTATCTGGACATATCCAGTCTTTTTCTTAATCCACTAATGTTTTTTAACTCCACAGTATCCTGTGATAACAAGTCCCATTGTTTAATCATTCAAATGTGGAATGTGCTTTTCACTTATTTTTTTACACCTGTTACTTGAGAATTTCATTTAGTGACTCTTTTTCCTTGCGTTCTGACAAATAGGGGAAAAATATTCCCTGTTCACATGGTTTGCATTATTTGGGATTTTACCTCTATCATATATGTTCTCAGAGATGTCCTTTCCAAGCTGAAGAATTCTATTCCATGCCTAACAGTTCTTCTTTTCTCAACTTGTGCACCCACTTGATCAGGTGCTTTGATTTGCAGTGGTACACATCATCTTATGCATCAGCAATAAAATACATTCACCCTCAGGTCTTGCTACCTGCACACATTCTTTTCTGCGTGTGGCCGTCATTGTGAATACTCTCATGTTTATTTTGATGCTTTCAAACACCACTATGTTGGAAAGCACAGAATAGCTTTCCTACAAGTATTTTGACATTGCAGCTGTCCCTATGTGAATACTTACCGGAACATGCCATATGCAGTGTCAGAATACTGTTTCTGCTATGGGGGAAAGGAGTTAGGATGGTTTGATCGCTATTTCTGCCCAGACATGTTGGAGTAATTGACTTCCTATTTGGCCTCTACCTCGTGCTTTCATTGCTTTGATTACTCAGAGTAGGTGCCACTCACCCTGACTCACTGCCCCTGATAACAGCAAAACCTATCCTGGAACTACATAGCCGAGGAAGCAAAGGAGATGGAAAAGAGGAGCTAGCACAGCTGTTGTGTGTAATTGCATTGGAAGTGGGCCTCCGGCTACAATAACAAAACTGCACTCCTGGCTGGCCTCACTGCTGGGGCCTGTGAGGAGCCCCTTGGCTGTTGTGCATATCATAGTTGAATCAGACAAAAATGACTGCTCCCCAGTTTGTGCTGCAGCTTTGCCCAGTTAGAAAAAACAGGCACCATGTATGCCAGCAGTCAAGGAATGAGGTCAGTCCTCTTGCCAAAGCTGACCTGTCTATCGGGCAGGAGATTCCATTAGAATGATTTTTTTCTCTTCTGTTATTCACACTCTCAAGACAAGGGTTTTGCTTCTTCCTGAGAGTCCCATCCTGTGGCCGTGCTGGAATGTCCTATTTTTGGTACATGGGGACCCTTAGGGAGTCTTCCTTGGTCTTTGGGTTTAAGAAAAACTCAAGATGCCTTCTTTAAGAAGGACCACATAGAAGATGAGAGACTTGTCAGTTCTCCTGCTAACTAAAAAAGAGAACTGCTGATGGAACTTCCTATCTGAGCCTCAGTTAAGAGGCTCACATAGAAAAAAAAAGCCTGTTTCTTAAGGAATTACTGGTTTCAGGAAATTAGGAAAGGTGGTGTAAACAACAGACTCCATTACTCATCAGAGTGCTCTTCTCCATAGATGTCATTTTATTTTTGCAAGAATCCCTGGTTTACATGTTTTCTTCCTTTACATGATTTCTCTTCTGTAAAGGATTTGAGGCATGATGCCCTGCCTCAGACATACGTTAGTCCTAGCCCTGTTATTGTTTGAATGGGTCATGGAGCCTGGTACCCGGGAAAGGATCCTCTGTCCTTGGGGAGAGCTGGGCTGCTGCTGCTGCCTGGCAGTCTCTCTTCCCATTCATTAAGAGCTTTTGGGCTTATAATCTGGCAGCATCATTAAAAGGTAAATGCTGAGGCTGCCCATTTTAACAGAGCAATTCAGCAATGCACACACACCCAGGCACATGAGCACACCCCCAGAGCATGGGCCCAGTAACACAGGACAACCTATCATTAACTAGATGAAGGAGTCCATCTTCCATTGTTGTTGCAATCAGTTATCACTCTCACTGTTCTGTGTTCTCCCCACCTTCTTGGGTTTTGTGCCAAGTATCTAAATGTGGTACTGGGAGCCACAGTGGGGGCGAGGTTCAAACTGCCTCTAAGGTTTCCTTCATTTTCTTTTCCACTCTGAAAATTGCCCCTGGTAAATCCTTAAGAACAAAGGCTGCTGTTTGTCCACATTGCATTTTCATATCACTGTATTCTGAAGCTAGTTTTAGAAATGTCCTTTTGGCTTCGTAAGAATCCAGTGTTGGCCCTTGATACTTTGTACAATTAGAGCCACTTCATTTTACTATTTCAATATAGATGGTTCACAGTTGTGTTTTTTTTAATGTAGTTCTTTGAAGTCCTACTTTGAGATTAAGGATGGTTATATTAACCTTTAAGAAAATAATATTGGTAGTAGGTTAAAGAAATATCAAAAAACCTCCCAGACCTAAATAGGAAGAGGCAGTTGTGGCAGGCATAAATCATGGCCAGAGAGCGGAGTTTATACGTGTGTCTGCCCTTGGCAATGGATGTATTATTTTAATAACAAGCCAACATTCTGAAGAAGCAGGCTACTTTCTCTTCACATTACTGCTGAAGGTCTGCAGGAGCTGGGGCTCCAGAGGCTGAGCACAAGCAGATGCTTATCGTTATCTAAGAGACTTGTTGAGACACTTTTTCTGAAGCCATGCACTTGTCCTTATTATCGCTGACATTTGAAGCAAGTCACCAGACTCCTGACATTGACAAAAAATTCTTTGTGGGCAGGTAAGCTATTTATTTTGAGGCTTTCCTAAACCTTTTCTGGAGTACTTGCTACCCAACATTTTTGTTGGCAGCAGTTATGCCCAGCCAGTAGATTATTATAATAATGATTGGTTTAGAAAAATTGGTTTAGAAAAAGCACACAACTCCTTGACCATTGTGGCTCATGCAGGTTTGTGTCCAGCTTTTCCCACTTCTACACTGGCTGTAGCCAGAAAGGCTTTAATCAGGGTTTCTTGTTGAACACATCTAAGATTAAAATGTAATAATGTTTTACCTGGATTTAGGTGGACACTGAGATTTTCTTACAGGATTCCCCTGGAATGGGGTGGCTATTGGCACAGACAGTGGTTGTATATGTGAATAACATGCCCTTCATTAAGCATCCTGACCTTGCTAAAAGAGCTTTCCTAGCTTTTATGGTTGATGCCCCAGTATCATGGTGGTACGTGTCCCCCAGATCTGGCAAAATCTGGTGTAGTTTGCAGGTCTGAACAATTCTCACGCCTCGTGCCCTGTTTTGTTGGATGCCCTGTTGTTTTACTGTAGTCCTATAGCAAGTCCTGCTCTGTGCCACCTTGAGATGACTTTGACTTTTATGATTTGAAAACGCTTTTAGTATCTTGGCATATCTTGAAACTGATGTAAACGTGAGACAATGATGTCAGTTCATATTTCCTATGTTGATTTTACGTGACTAATTTAGGGCCTTTGTTAACATGCTGCAAATGTCACAGATTTAACTTCTCAATAGTTGAAGGTTTGGGTTTTTAATGACATTTTGTTGGAGATAAATACACTCATTTTCACTCCTACTTTAAATTACAAGTAAGAAAATTTTCAGATGAGCAAAGCTGATATTATTTATATTATTATTCAAGCCAATAACGAATCTGGAATTTTGTTGGTGTAAAAATAAGGACCTGTGTCAGTGGACAACTTAAGACATAATATTTATTTTTTTTTCTGTATCTCCAAGCGTACCCTCCTTTTTCTTCCTATTTTAAAAAGGAAAAAATAACACTGGGGTAGGAGGGACATTCTTCTTCATTAATCTCCCTACTTCCATTGCTCAGTTGGGACTGAAGAATCAAAGTGTACATACCATACCACTGCTCCTGTTACATTTCAAATTTGCCAAGAAGCAGAAAGAGTCAGAATATTTCTTAGGGAGACTTCCTTCTGCAGGCATTTGAACCGAGGCCAACCCGTGTGCCAGAATGGTGGGTACATCTGGGGGGTACTCCCAGTCCTGGTCTGCAGGTGAAGGGCTCTAGGCTTCACCTCGCTGATGTGCCCGACAGATAGGACACACAGCATTTGCCCTCTGATAAGGACAAAATGGATGTAGACATTCCTTACATTATGAGATTTTTGTAGCTCCTCTCAGGCCGGTGGATTCAGAGGACTCAGTGAAGGGGTCTTGCAGTATGATTTAGGATTTTTAATGCAGGCTCTTGCTTTGAACCCTCTCTGGAGGTTTCTCTTTGTCAGTGTCCCATCTCCTGTCATTGTGACTCCCCATCAGTGTGCCATCCCCAGCAGCTGCACCTTTCGATGCTGTGCCCCTTAGCCATGGCTTTCCTTCCCCACGGTGTACGAGGGCTCAGGCCTTGGGAAACTCTACCTGTGCTCAGGATCTGATGTCCCCCTTGCTGTTCAGCCAGCTTCAGCTGCATGTCATACTGACACCTTCTTGTCTTTTCTCCTTTTTCACCATTGGAACAAGGTCTCTGTGCTTTGTGGGTCCTAACAGTTATACTTTTGTCATCTTGGTTTTTGCAGTGTTTTTTACAGTGACTTTCAAGTACCCATTTGGTCAGACCTAGGATTTTCCTACCAAGAATGATGGAGTCAGTGGTCATAAGTAGAGACAAATTCAACCCACTCTACTAGCAGAGCAAAATGAGTCAGTGAAATTATATCTTGTAATTTAGACCAGAAATATGCCTACAGTATCAAATCTGCTATGTTTATTTATAGCTAAAAAAAAAATAATCTAAACCTATGTTGTGTTTCTGATTATTTTTTTAAATCCACATTAATCTTTAAGAACATTAAGATATTTGCATTCCTTAGACTGTACAATTATTAATCCCCTTATCTGGCTTGGAGTTCTCTGTGGGTGAATGTATTCTTGAGATGATCTGGATGTTAGATTTCTCCAGCAGGCGCAAAAAGAAAATACAAAAGAGAGAGAGGAATAAACAAATTCAAACTCAGCATGCTGCTTGTTGAAAATTCTCATTCTAATAAGTTCATTTGACCTCTCAGTCTCCGTGAAATTAAAAAAGTCACAGCCCTGTTTGATTAATAAACTGACTTAAGATGGAGGGGGTGTGTGTGAGTGCATGTGTGCGAATCAAAATCCCTGGCATATTAAGTGCTGTGAGAGGTAGATATGGAGAAGGAATCAAGCTAAGGGAAGAAGATCAGGGGATCAAGTCCGAAAGGGGTCCCTCAGAGCTTGAGTGGGTAGGACATGATTTTTGTTGTCTTAGTTCTGTGATGTCATGTGTCATAAGATTAACTAATGGATCAGTTGAGACTTAATGGATTGGGCATGAATATATATAAAATAGTATCGAAACAATATTTTTATGAATTCAGTTGTATTCAAATTCTAACATAGTAGTAGTTTAGATTCTAGCCTATTTGAAAATTTAGGCTAGAAATGAATTTGAATTGAAACAAACAAGGTTTATGCCAGAGAGGGTTATCAGGCAGAGACTGGAGCAGCCCAAGTGACCACAGCTTCATCTACAGAGTGGCTGTCACTGCTGAGGAGAGCTATGCTGCTTTCTGAAACTGAAAAGTAGCTTTAGCTATAAAGCCACAAAGGAACATGCTGCTCTTGGAAGCTGAATATCTAGTTCTCCCCAGAAAGAAAATGGAGTAGCATTAAAAATAGGTTACACATAATTTTTTTACTCCTTGGCAGGTCTGGTATACTGGTGCCTTATTGATAAATGCAAGCAGTGTTGATTCACTCTAAAAATACATGCTGAAGCCATCACATTCAAGAAGGAGGATAGCTTTGTGTGTGTGTATGTGTTTAGCCCACATGTTTTGTCTGAAGCAGATGTGGTGGGATCATGGCCTCCCTTTCACTGACCACTGCAGCCTTGAATTTTAAATCTGTAGCTGAGAAGTATTTTTATAGCTCTCCAGCAGAGTGAATGCTCCCTGCAGAGCTCCAATGCTTTCCTAGCCCATTTGGCTGTACTGGTGTGCAGTGCCTCTGGAGTTGCTCCCCAAGGGATATGGTGAAAGTCAAATGCACTTCTGCAGCTAACAGTTTTTTTCTACCTAAGACAGGTGCTTTCCTGCTCAGTGTGGAAAGCAGTACCTGCATATGTTTGTGTCCTGCATGCTACATCCATACTTGGTCTCGCTCAAGTATGTGAGCTCCAATCCTGAGAAGTATTGGATTGCAAGACCAGTGTGCATGGATATTGCTGCTTTTTTTCTGGTTTGTTCTTTTTTTCTTACTTCCTATCTCTCTTTCTCTCTCTTTCAAAGGCCTCTCACACCTGATGATGAGTGAACAAGGTAAGTCCTTTGATTTTCTCTTTGTTTCAGTCACTGATAATGAAAGAGCTTTGTCCCTGCTCTTTTTCTGGACTTTGCATGACAAAAGCAACTAAGCCTAGTGGGTGCCAGTCAAGCCATTTTCATTTTTTCCTGTGTCCCATGAGCTATGGCTACTTGTCAGCCTGGGACTCAAGTGCCCAGGAGGGAGCATGAAATAATTTCATGGACAGTAAAAAGAGGTGTGCATCCCCCTTTCATACAGTTCACCAACTATTTTATTTTGCCATTTCTTTCTTGTTTTGCCAGCTGTAATGATTCCCACTTCTGAAGGGTAAATACAGACCTCAATGTGGGTCTTTTTCAGAGTGCAATTAAAAAAAAAAAAAGTAAATAGCCCTCATGGTGTGATTCTAATTCATTATGAATCCTGAGGAAAACTGCATTTAATGGCCTGTAAGTCCTGTCTCTGCAATTTAAAATATTCAGATATGCATAGATCAGGATGGTTTAGAAAAAGAACAGGGCTCCCCCCACTTTAGGCTACAAATGAGATCTAGGCGTATATCAGAATTCGCATTTTAGTACCTCAGCTGGGACTGTGTTACAGATCTACTGGCTGTGACACGATGGGATCATTAGTCCCGTTTTGTATTATGGGCATATTTTGGCGAGCAAAAGCTGGTGAGGAGAGGTGAGGTGAGGAGAGGGGTGATTCTGTTTCTCTCTGACAGTGTGAGTATCTTGCCAACATGATGGGGGAGAAGTTAGGGAGCACTGGTGACAGAGTTAGATCTGGTGATGCATTCTAGTCTTGCAAATGCAGGAGTAAAATGGTTGAAGTTATAATGTGAGGTGTGTGCACATGGTGCACTTGAAAGACCAGACCAGATGTCTGCCTGTGGGGAGAAAATGTGAATTTTGACTCTAAATCCTGCTGAGGCTTTCCTAAGCTAGATGTACGCAGTAGTGCTTTTACCATTAAGCGGACACGTTTCTGAGGTTAGACAGTCCAAAGAGTTAGTAAGATGCAATGTAGTGCCTCTGAAGACTCAAGAGTAATTAGGTGTTGAATCAAAGAGATATAGTTTCTACATATCTCAGTGGAATGTAGAAAAGCTTAGGATATAATCAGTTTTTATTCTGTAGTTCAAGACAGCTTTCACCTCTGAGGTCATGAAAGCTTAGGAAACAATCAGAAGGGAAGTTGGGGCTCACTCATCACTTTCTGTACTGCTTAGCATCCCTATTTGGGGAAAGATAGGTAAAGAGGGCTCTTTCTGAGTGCATGTCAAGACCATGGTATTTGGCATGTGGAGCATCTAGCTAAGCTCTGGGCAACGTCGAATTCCTTCTCCATCCCTACGTACTGCTCAATTTGACTCATGGCTCTCTAGTCATACTTGTTGAAGGAGCATCCAGCAGATATGTCTCTTTGGCATGTCCTAGTTCCTCAGGATACAGCTAAGTATGGCAAGCCGTTGACAAAGAAAGGATAATGGCATGTTGGGAGGGATCAGTACAGCTAACTTACATGGCCACTTTTATTCTCAGTAACACTGAACATATCTTTGTAGCAGTCTGTGGTTTAGCACTGGATTATATAAAACAGATGCACTTGGCCATTTAAATTACAGGTAGCAACCCAGCTTGCTCATGAAGACTTGCATGACCTCTTCAGGCCTGTATGACTGTCATCAGCCCTTCTATACTCCCTTGCCTGGCAAAAAAATGTGAAAACTATCAGCTTCTGGCAACTGCAGCCACCCATATTTATCCATGAGGCATCAGGGAACAGTGGCTTCTCTTTTTTTTTGCCAACCAGCTCACAGATATTCCCTTTTGATAAATATTTACCCTCTATAAAGATATAATGGATATAAACTTTGTAAATGTATATGTGTGAGTAAATATGCAATGTCAACATTATATGCAAATACATTAGCTCTGGTAGGTGAAATATGTTTAGCAAATATATTACCATGAGATTTATTTTTTATTTTCTGTCCTACTATGTTGTTTTCCATGCTATTTTGGTTTTGACGTGGAATGAGGCATATCACTGTAGTGCTATTGCATGAGGGGTTTGCATTTCTCAGGAGAAAATCAAATTAAAGCCAAAGGGCTTAACAAGGCAGTTGCTGGTTGTACTGTCAGTTGTTTAAGCCTTGCTTTGTGCTTCAGTTGTGGTGTGTCTCCTGGTTTTCCTTTGAAATTATGCTTTGTTGGATTTGTTTGCTACATGAATATGCTTATTTCCTTGTATTTGCAAGTATGGCCAGTGACATAATTTTCTGTTTTTTTGTGCTTCCTCCTTTTCTTCTCTTTTGCTTCCTCCATGATGGACACCCCCCTTGTTACTCTTCTTAACTGGACACACACCCTCCTGTCTGTAGGTAGAAGTAAAGGTAGAGATTGCATTCTTTCTAACATTTCATTGCTTATAAAATGTTTGCCAATGGACAAATTGTATTTTTATGAATGTGATTCATGTTGGAATTTAATGCCTTTACTTTTAAAAGTCTCTTAATCTTTTGTGTTGAATTATGGAAGAAATATTTATTAAGATGAATCCTTTGAGGCCTTCTTAACAGATGTTATTTTCTCCCCGTTCACACCAAGTATGGGCTGTGTAGTGTCAGACTGTCTGTAACTGGTGATGCTGGGGTGCAAAGGGACCGCCAGTTCAGTCAAAGACATAGGCAGAGACCAGTGAGCTGGTAGAGCTGTCTCTCTTGCACTGGAGTGATGACACTGCTGTGAAGTGGGACTTGGGCTTGTCCAGTACCCTTCAACAATGGAGGTCTTTGAGCTATCATTTCTCCTCCCAGCTCTGCTTCCCAACCTCTCTGTTAGTTTTTCAAAGAGAAATTGAGTTGCAATAAGCTGCAGAGGAAACAGAAATGATCAGCACTGCTAAACAGAGGGGTCCATTTCCTTTGCAGCTCAGTACAGCACAGGGCATGTAAGGCTGCTCTGGGGCTCCAGATTACTCTTCAGCAATTCACACCTGTCTTAAGCATGGAGAGGGCAGTCATCCATCCCTAATCAAAACTGTCAAAAAGGCAAAACGCTGCAAACTTGCTGTGGGTCTCCTAGACTGGAGGGAAGGGTGAAGATTAATTGATAAATAGAAGCACAGCTCAAGGAAAATCCATTTCTTTGCCCTCTTTTCCAATGAGATAGATGAAAAGGTTGTTTTATGCTGAAGCTTACTCCTTTTCAACAAAGACACTGCTGAAGAATCCGATCTATTGATCATCATAAATTGAACACGTTGGAGGGTGTTGGGTGTGCCCATGCCAATAAGACACTGGGGGATGAAATGACTAATTGTGCTACTATGAATTTGGGAGGATATGAGAACTCACAGGATTTGTTCATAATAACCTTCCTTTGAGGCACAAACAGCCTATGCTCAGTGTTCACTCCTGTAACGCCTGAATTCTTTGGAGGACAATGGCATATTAAATACTTTCTCTCCATGTAATTCCTCTTTCAGGTGCCCTGCTTTCTTGTAACAAGTTTATATTGTTGAATTCTCTGTGATGGAGTGCATCATGTAAGCAGTATTATTTGTTCTTTGAGGTTGAAAAAATATTCAAGTAATTAGTTTTATAGCTTTTCTATCCAAAGTTGGGTGGTGGAGGATAATACATAAACTGTACTCAGAGCTATCTTCTTGTGTCTTGTGAACGTCATAACATAATAATCACATATATACACTGTAGAAAATGTGAGAACCTAAAGCTCTAAGCACACCATACAAAATGTTACTGTGCCTCAGCACAGCTGGCAATAATTGAGTTAGCTGATGTATGGATTAGTGTGATTTAAGAGTTGATGCAGATCAGTGTGAGACTTGGGTGGTGTGATATTGGCTCATATTGCTCATTTCTTTTCTTGGGTGGCATTTGTGCTACAGGCCAGTCTGTGCAGGACTAAACTGTAAGTCTTTTCTGAAGCAAAGCTCCCAGTTGAGCCTGTAGGAATGAGTATTATAATATATAGTCCACAATTCATTTGTATGCACTGAAACTTAATTTATTGTGTCATTGAGTGAAAATGTTGTTTCACTTCCCAGCTACTTGTAGTTTTTAGCTCTACTTACAGCAAGTGACTTAATCAGATAGCCATCACTCTGTATGAAAATTGGCATATATTCAAAGGGCTCATGTGGTGTAATTTTGACCCCACACATGGCTTTCAGCTCACAGAGAAGGTGGTACTGGATGCCTTAGTGATTGTACCTGGAAAGTTCATCTTTTTTGGCATTCTTGTAGTTTTCAGTAAAAACTGGCAGCCATACTGTCTCATGCCACATAGCCAAAGGATATGATGTATTTGATTTCATAAAAGCTCTTCACAACGTATGGCAGTAATATAATATATATTATTTGTTCTCATGGACAGCCTTTGTTAAGGAAATGATAATTTGCCTTTTTGCTACCTTTCACCATTCTCTCATATATGTAGTGGGTTTTGTTTTACCGTAACTCTTGGTTTGGATCTGGCTTCCATTGATGTTCATGCCCCCTGAGGAAATTGGCTGTATTCCTGGTGGGACTCTGCTATTTTTGGTGAATGAAGTCCTGTATCTTAGCATTCACGTTGACTTTAGTGGGCCAAGATTCCCACAAGTAACTGAGGAGCCCCAATTGTCCTCTCTAACACAAAGGATGCCAGTGAGGTGTGGATGGTTTCTTGCTGTCCACAGTACACCTGTATGCAGTCTGCTGATACCTGCTTCTCCATTATGGCAGTGGCCTCCTTCCCTTCAATGGTAACTGCTAGGGATGAAAAACTGCACAGCTGCACACTCATTTTCAACATGTAGCAGGTTTTTTCTCAGGGAGAAAAGAGAGAGTACTCACATATTTCATGGATGGAACACTTTCTAATGCATGTTGTGTAGACCAAAGGCTACTGGCAAATTCCACATGTGGTTCTCAGCATTGCAAAATCAGATTATCTCTCTTGGCCTTAACTGCTCTTAACCCAAGTAGGTCTTTTAAGTCTTG